TAGATAAGAACATTTTTTGGCAAACCATACACTGCATCCATAAGGTCAAGGTTTGTCTCGAGAATCGTGTTTGGATTTCCGATTTAAGATGATCCAAAAAGGGCACACTAATTACTCTACGGTAATATTGTGACGGTGTATCAGCTGGTGTGTTAGCGCGGTGTTGTTGCCTCCCTGTCGTTCTTGGCTGATCTGGTTGAGTTCCAACACTGGTTCCCATGGATTCAGCTTCTTTGTACCACGAGTCGTGTTCTGCGTCCACGTCATTTCTCATTTTCTCTAGATGAACGTAAAGAGCGGATACTTTTTCTCTAGCTGCTCCAGCATCAATAGCGGATTCCTGCAGTTGAACCGTGAGCGGTTGAGTCACCAGAAGACATTTTGAAACCACAACTAACGCGACAATGAATGGAAAGGACACGGTTGCTGAATATAAAGAAACAGCTTTTCGGACAGAATCTGGATTCCAATTGTCGCCGACATTGTCACGAATGATTTCCAAGCATCTAATAATTGCAGGGAAAACCTCGATAAAAACACACAAACCATCGATTCTGGCCACCCATCTTGTTTTGCAAACATTTATCAGCCGTTTATGATTCGCTGTAGGAAGCATTTCGTGGATGGTCTTGACCAACAAATCAAAACGCTTCGGAGAAAAATTAAAGAACTCCGAGGCAACACGAACATGTTCCATCATATTCCTTACCAGTTGTTCTTTGCAGCAAGTGGCGACACAAAGGTTTAAACGGTGAGAGTTACAGTGAACATACAGAGCCTTCTTGTTGGTTTCTTGTATTCTAGCTGCTACTCCAGATAATCGCCCTGCCATGTTCCCAGCTCCATCATAACCCTGACCACGACAATCATCAATCGGCAAATTTTGGTCCCGAAGGAATTCTTCAATTGTAGCGGCAACAGCTTCACCAGACACACCCTTTTTGCACGGGACAAAGCCAAGAAACTCTTCTCTTATTTGACACTGCTTGTCTACAAACCGGATAACGATACTAAGCTGTTCTATGTTGCTACAATCTGATGCTTCGTCGGCGAGAATGGAGTAAAACCTTGCTTCGCGGATCTCATCAGTAAGTTTTTTGGTTATCATATCGCCACATATATCAATTATTTCATTCTGAGTGGTTTTTGATTTGTAGGTCATGTTCTTAGGAGTGCTTTTGAAAAGTTCCTCAAGAGTCTTACCAGCACACATTGCACCGTACTTTAGGATTTCAATGAAATTACCACAGTTAACCTCATCTGACAGATAGTTCGAAGAATCATCTCTATGTCCACGCAAGGGAATATTTTGCCTGCCACAAAGAACGATTGCTCCGATAATGGGTCTCAGAAGTTTTCTGTTTTCCTCTATCTGCTGCCTTTTCATATCATCCAACATAACATCAATGGGTGCAGACCTTTGCTCCATATGAGATCTTAGTACTGCTGCACGCGCTGTGGCTGCTTTGTGAAGTGGTGACTTCTCGGAATGCTCCCTGAATTTAGCGGGTGCGACCTGCCATGTGGTGAATGGGGTTTTAAAAAGCCTTTGCAACTTACTCGTATTGTGCATCCCAGTACATTCTGAACCAAACAGCACGCAGTTTATGCAGAAAGCTCCATTCAACTTTTGCGAGTACGTCAGCCACGGAAACAACTTGATCCAATCCAAGCGAAACTTCCTGCCGTTTACCAAAGGAAATGGAAAGTTTGTAGATGGTACCCAAACGTTGCAAAGAACCTCGTACTTCTGCGTATCAGTTAAGGAGTTGCTGTTGACAAAGTTAGCTATATCATTTGGGAACACGATGTTTCGGATCTTGAACATTCAGGTACGTGTTCTGAAACCAATGAACTAGGTACACGTTTTTTAGACAAAAGATTCGGCTTTGGAATATCTTCGTCGTCACTTTCCTCGGCAAACTTTCTTTTTTTAGGGAATAGCTTGTCAAGAATGGTCTGCTTCTTTTTAACTGGTTGCGATGAAGAAGAGTTTCTTGCGGGTACAAAGGCAGAGGAAGTTGCCACAGGCACAGTACTACATAACGGTGGCGGCGTTTGCTTGGTAGGCGGCGTAACATTTCGTACTTGTGTCGAACTGATATTAATACCTGGTGAAACTTTCTTCATAACAAAGTGTCGAACACCTACCTTACTGCTGCTTTCTTTTGCTTCACAAAGAGCAACATAGTGATTTTTGGTCGCAGGAACTTTACCAAGCTTGGAATAATCCATAGGCATTAATGCACAACGAAATAAATGATTTTCTGATCTGAAATTGATGTTGCTATTTCTCGCGGATATATAGTGCAGTTAAACATTGTAGACAGGGAGTCAATTTTTTCTTCATTAGGTGTAATTGGAAAATACGACTCGATTGGACGTTTAACAACACTTGATAGGGAAAGAAGACAAATAAAAGAACTCCATTGATGATTCATTGCGTTGCTGTATGCTTCAGTGAGTATTGGTGCGCAAGGATCTTCTTTTGTTACAGAACCAAGAGCAATATCAGACAAACACATTGCAAAAGTATTTGCAATGGAACTAAACGCACCTTTTTTGTGCTGCTGCTCAATAATGGGATGTTTAGCATAAAACGAAGAATTTAAAAAAAGTTCAATGCTTGTCAGACAACGCAGGTAAGACGCCAGAGACTCGTTGCCACACAATGCAATGGAACATGCATTGTACAAGCAATTGCCATCTCCAGTAGTCCTAAATATGGGAAATACAGAAAACTATGTACTGTTTTTGCATACAAAAAGATATAATAAGTGGGACCCTTAAGCTATGCACTGACACACTAAGGGGAGCTGAAATTCAAACTCCACTATTTGAGTGTGAGCATGAATGAGCTTTTAGAATACAGGTGTTAAAAAATTCAAGTTAATAACTCTATCAATACACTGTACATTTGTGGAAATTGCTCAAAGACAAAATTATGTAATTAACCTACTTAGTTACTTTATTAATCTTTATCTATCTTCACATTTATCTATAATGTTACTTTGACATTTGGTTCCACATCCACTTATTGCACATATATTTCAGGACATTTATAAATAATTTCAATTAATCTAGGTAAATCCTGTATTTTAGTTAGTTGTCAGTAATTAATAATTACACATTTATAAATTAAGCTTGTGTGACCAATGGTGCTACGAATCTCTTACTGTAATTAATCAGTGGTATTATTTTTATGTGCCAATTAATAGCTTGCAGTACCATGTGTAGGTAAGCAAATACAAAATACACTATCGCAGCCAGGAAGCAGGCTTTATTGTCTATATGTAATTCTAAATTATGATAACTTGATTACTGTGCTGTTGAGGAAATACTATGGTTTACTATTATGGGTATGTGATTATAGTGTAATTCGAAACTCTGTTAGCAGTTACCACTGTATATATACACATATAGACAACAGAGTCAGACAACAGCCTGTGCAGGTATAATTTCACACGAATAAGTTCATGAACACTGCAGTGTCTAAGATAAAACACTGCAGGGTCTAAGATATAAATATATAGCATATTAACTCACATATTTCTTCAATAATATACACACATGACACATATTACATGGCTATTAAATTACGATGAGAGGCCATTGTTCTGTATTTTTTATACATAAGCAAAATATGGTAATATATTCGACAAGAATGAAATGTGTAAACAATTTACATATTTAATATATTATTCATAAGACTGACCTGACAGGAAGGTGATTTAAACAGCGTTGTTGTTCGCTTCGCGGGAACTGCAAATGCGAAAAATCGCACACCAAAACCTTTCGATCATCCGAGACGTTCCTTAGCGATTCCTCCACGACCACTTTCTCACACAGGGATTTAACAGAGGCTATTTTATTCGCCTTTTCGTCAAACGAAATACGTTCGTTCAGTATACAAAGAAGCTCGTCAAGTGGGTCTGTAGAAGCCATGTCTACTTAGTAACTACCGCGTCTATTCACTCTATTGATTACAAGTCAAGTCAACGAGGAGCGGCAAATACGATTATACGACAACAAGTCAACTTCATCATTCTGAAGTCGAAGCGACTATTGCAAACAGTAGCAGTTTGCTTCATTTTGATTGGCTTGCTCCGTCTGAGCGTAGCAAACCAATCAGAATGCTGTATTTGCGAATTTTTGCAGCGGTCAGTTTCAATATGACCACTGCAAAAATTTGTAAATACAGCGCTATCATTGGTTTGCTACAGTTAGATGGGGCAAGCCAATCAGAATGAGGCAAATGCTACAGTTTGCAATGACTTGCTTCGACTTCAGAACGATGTGATATAGCAATTGCCGTAAAACCCGCAAATACGGGCAATATAATGCTAATTTCGGGCAGAAATTTGATAAAAACCCGAATTTAATCATCCAAAATGAAATAAAAACTATTTCAATATACCGGATTACCAGGTAATTTTGTAAATTTCAAATATGAAATTATTAGCAATTATTTCGTTTTCCAAAGGTACACCCTGGAAAAAAATATGTCGGTAAAATCTGACCGTAGCATATGCTACGGTTGCAACGGTCTGAATCCGCCCCTGATTATAATACAGCTCAGTGGTGCAATCCCATTGGAACCACATAAACAACAACATACTTTTAAAAAGTAGTTGTAATCAAAGATTAAAGCAAATGTGTTCAATTTTTATTACCAAATTAAATTTGTACCGTTAATTTTCTATTGTCTCTTTTTTGCTAACAGCCTTAGCACGAAATATATAGCTCTACTGCATAATTATGGCCAGGACAATGAATGTAGGACTAAACGAGACAACTACAAGGCTCGGTTGAAGTGTCTTTAGTGTCAATAACAAAACATTTGAAAAAAGATTACGACTACAGAATGACTGTGGAACAAAATGTGAACAACTTGTTCAAAGTTCATTACATAAACACATAGCTAATAATTCATTAAAGTTCATGAATATTTTATGCTATTTGAGAATATTAAAAGCAAAGTTCTTTTCTGTACTGTTTGGTAATATTTAGCGTTTTGGTAAAAAGAACGTAAACATAATTATTGCTTTTATAACATTTAATAACAGGGTAAAGTTTTTTAATTGATGGCGATTAATGTCACTCGTCCGTGCGTATGCCATAGAACTACATATTTAATCTTAAATATCACTGATTTGATAATTGTTATCAAATGTGAAGTTGAATACTTGCTGCTTTGATAATAATGCAATAAGTATACCATCTTGGTAGATGGACGTTTGCAGAAAGTGATGTCAAAATATTTCAGGCAGTTTGAATTTGACATATCGTCCATAAGTTTCTCTTTCAACACATTTAATAAAACCTAGACCCTAATTATTAAAACTGTTAAAATAAATTCAAAAAACTAAAACTTAAAACCATGGCAAATAAAATATATTTCGCTGATTCTCAGCCTCTTCAGTTTGACGCCATGTTAAATAATAATAAGTCAATACTTCATGTCTTCTGACTGAAACGTTTTCCCTCCTATTACTTCATGTACAAACCATAAAAGCATCCCACAGTTCAAAACGTCTGGTTGGGTACACGAAAAGAGTTCCATTCCGTTTTCGAATTGATCAGTGATTGTGGTAACGCTTTATCTATTCTCACACTTTCGCTAATTTGCCTTAACATAGCATCCTTAGAAAATATACCTGTAACGTTCATGCGAAAACTCTGACATCTACCCCCATGTTTCTCCTTACAATGTTTCCAAAGTACTGAGTGTTCATCCTTGCTACTTAGTGACTTTCTGTGTTCAGTCCCTCTCAGGTATGCACTCCGTGATGACTCCCCGATATACATATTTCCACACTCATTACAAAGTATCTCATACGTCACCCCCTGCCGATCACAAGGCCCTTTTCCCCCTGTTGTGCACACTAAACAATCCATTTTCTTGCAATGACGGTCTTTCAATGGGTTCGATCTTTGCAACATCGTCTTTAAACTTTCACCAACCTTCTCGATCACTCTAACCTTAAAACCTTGGCTCTGTATCTCTCGTTCGTATGCTTTCTTCAACCGTGATCCTGGTGTTGCCGGGACAAAAATAACAGACTCACTACCATCCTTCTTATACCAACTGACTTCCTTTCTAAGCTTCTCTTGCTCTCTTTCTTTCTTCTTCCAACCTTTTGGTCGATGAACCGGTCTTTCACCTTTTCGTTCAGCTTCTTCCATCACTCTATATGCTTTAAGTGCTGAATCGACAACCTCGTACCTGAATTTCTTGGTATATCCAGAAAACTGCATTCGTAACACGATTTCCTCAATATGTCTAACAACCACCTCCCATGGTAGAAGCCTACTACAACCTAACATCACTCGTAAAACCTCCTGCGTTAGTACAGTTCTCTTTACGGCCCAAGGTAACATTGATCTTGCATTCACTAGTGCCTTTGATGCCATATCTTTACCGTAAAACTCATGCAAGATAACCGCCACTCGCTTCGTTCTTCCATTATGTTCCTTTTCCCTGGTCTCCACCCATACTTTCGTATCCAAGATTGGAATCTTACCGTCTTTGTGTCTCGACGGGTAATCGACATCCAATCTAATTGATGGATGGATATCATCTCCTATTTCCTTAATTATCATCATTGTTCTCTCATCGGCACTTATACTTCTATCCTCCATGACTAACTGTTCATCTATGTGTATTTTGCCATTCTCATATCTCATTCCAGGGGGTGTTGCTCTCGTAGCTATATTGATGTCATCAACATATCTTTCATTCAGTTTCTTTATAACCCCATACTTTTGCAACCTCGTTGTAAACTCCTTGTCCCACCAGATCATAAAAACCTGGGCTAAGACCCCAGTTAGCTGCAAGCCAATAGGGCCACCCCTAGTCTGTTTCCTAATTTCATTATCAAAGGTGTACACATGATTATTCATAATTACTGTGAGCACCATCCTCATTGCTTCCCTAAACATCACACGTTTTGTGTACTCATCAGGCCCCTTAGTGGGCATGTTCTATAGTTTAAACCGTTCCTCTTTCTTCCCCTCCTTACTACGGGCAATAAGGGTCGGTGGTCACCCGATTAGCACCTCATTACACATATATAAGCAGGTTTCATTATCTCTCATTGCCCGTATGTAAGTGCTAACGAAAGATCTGCTGTACCTGCTGGCGCGCTGCCTTCAGAGCAGGCTGGAGTCGACTGACCTTCGTTCCGTTAAAAACCGCGAAACTATAAAATTTGCGCCAGTTTTCCGTGTTCGCCAATCGCCATATTGCTTTGATAGTGTTGCACTGTAGTCGCGGCTGTCGCGCACGTTTACTGATTTGCATTTCGCCGAATATTAAAATAAAATAAGTAACTGAATTATTCATAATGGAAGTAGAAAGATTGTCAATAACGGATGCACAAAAACAAGTTCTTGTGGATTTTTATGAGAGAGGAATGGTTTCAACCAAGAAAGGTTTGGCTGAATTACATGTTGAATGTGCTAGTGCTTGTGGCTTGTCTGAAACCCAAGTAAAAGTAAGTTTGTATAAATGATACAAATAATAAAACAATGAAACAACGCTGTGTATACTGTTAAACATGTTAAGATATAATATTGGTAGGTCAAAACAATAGATAAACTAATATTTGCAAAATATCTTTTGCACACCGTCAAATATTTAATTTGCATAATCATATAAACCACAGGGCACAGGCTATAGCAGCTAGTCATTCAGCAATTTATACGTCAAGGCAGGCAAATAAGGATATATATTAAAATTGAGAGGATATTTGCTGTATTTTGTCGAATATATTTATATGAACTCCAGAAGATTTTATGTTTATAGTGTAAGACTAATCAACCTCTAATAGAAACATTTTTTTTCAAACTTTACCTTGAACAGGGGCCCTTTAATTGTTACATATACCTTTATTTAAAACCTGACTCACTCACACTCACTGAGTAAGAGATCACAATCACCTCATAACCAATTTCTATGGAATCTATAATGGTATTTTTGCTCCAGTAGATGTAATAATTTTGAATATTTCACCCAAATTAAATCTTGCTATTGTTGGTGTTTGATTCATTGTGCAATTTCTACAATTTACTACACAATTTTGCACCCAACAAATTCTGGAAAGAATAGTAATGAATTAATGGTTAATATATTGTTCCGAGACATCAACCCATAGCGTAGCATTGTGCCCTGATGCTCCCTACTTTAATTGGTATTTTACTTTGTCTAACACCAGACAATTTTATTCATCAAGGGGTGACTGGAAATTTCATTTGCCATTTGTACTGCAGTTGAAGTATTCACATGTATAGCCTTACACTTTAACATTTCTCACACCAAAACCAACCCCAACCCACACTGTAAACCCCAACCTTAACATTGGTTGGACATCAAAATGTTAAAACATTGCAAGAAAAAAAATTGAAAAATATATGAAGAAACTAACCTATAATCTAGAGTACTTGGTGCACAATAGCCAGGAAAAATTTAAATGTTAATTAAGTTGAGTGCTGGAAGTTCAATTAACCAACAATTAATTGTTACTATTATACATTATAGTAGTGAAAGCAATTTGATTGGCTAATAGTTGACAGATAAATCGCGCAATCACGCAAAATTCAGTTCTGCTAGCAGATAACTGAGTTATCTGCAAGTGAACCTGCGGTGGTTAACAAGCGGTATTCATTTGAATGCATTTATATATTAATAATTGATGAATTTTTGGATGTTGCTATTAAATAAGGTTTTTCATTTGTTAATGCTTATGTTTACTATTCTTCAAATGTATAATAAAACCTTTAAATTTTATTGAATTCGGTTTTTGTGATATGCAGAGGCTCGGCTCATAATGCTTACCGAGACCTTGATAACTCTGCATATCACACTGTCTGTGATTATAAACTGTATTTTATTACAAATGGCAATGAAAACTGCTTATTTAACAATGGACTGCATTGTCCGGCTCGATTTCAAACTGTTTTTTCTATGCAATCAAGCTAGTTTTGGAAGGGTTTATTGTATGTGTTGTACAGTACCTTAATCTAATACCAACCTGACATTTTTGTGCTTCGTTTTTCATGGGATAATCACTTTAGTTTACCTTATTTTTTAGAACTGGATAAGTAATTATAAAGCTAGCAAACGATCCTCTGGTGAACCTAGGCAAAATGCTAGTAAATCAGTTCTAATTCGGAAAAGGAGTGGCTATAATGTTTTTGCCAAGGAACAACTTGCTGAAGGTAAATTAAATCTGAAGTATCATTGTGATGTACCATTAATAAATGTAAAAAAAACTGATAAGAAGAGAGGATAACATATGGGCTTCAATCGGTATGATTATATTGATGATATACAGGATGTATCAAAAAAATTCGAATCCAACTTTGACAAGCTGCTGTGTATAAAATACTAAAGTAAACGATATAATTTTTATATGGCAACAAAGATTAGCTTATTTAGTTTACGATTATACCTTTTTTATATCGACACAACCAAAACTGGCCGAGTTATCGTCTTTTAAAAATTGTTGCTCAAAATCAAATTTTTCCGCCGATGGGAATTCGAAATGAGACCTCCAGACAAAAGAAAATGCAAATTTAATTAATGGAGGCATTGTGTTCTTCAAACTTCTATCGTTGAACATTGAATAAGCAGAATTTTTGCGATAAATTTGCGTTTTAGTTTTCAGTAATGATTAGATTTTAAAGCCCTTTGGGACTAATTTTCAATAAAACAAACGTCCAATTCCCATCGGCGGAATATTGTGATTTTTATGAACTTTTTTTGTTGAACCAGTACTTCTTCATTTTTCAACTAAATTACACGTACAACGTGTCATTTGAAAGAGAAATAAATGAACTTAACAATCGTGTAAAAATCAACCAAATTTGTCAAATATATTTTGCATTATTACACGCAAAATTTCGATTCGAATTTTTTTGATACACCCTGTATATTAAAAAACCACAGTGCATCCTACAATTAGATTTCACATACACGTTACTCAATTAGGCAAGTCAGGTTTTATGTTAATAAAATTTCAAATGTGGGTTGCCAGTGTAGGTACATAGATTCTTTGCCGGATAAATTTTCGGTTGATATATAGGATAACTACCTCAAAAATATAACGATCAATCGCGTTATACTGCATCGTAATTAACACTTTACTAATAATTCCCGTTATATTTTTTAGGTTTTTAACATTAAGTGGGTTAGAAAAAACCCCACCAGTTTATCTTGTTAATACATTAAGCTGTCATGACGTCAAATGCATGCACAGGGACAGCATTTTGACCACTTACTTTTACTTTTGATCTGTACAATATTTGCTGAAAAGTAGCCATCCGTTTTTGCAAGATCCAGCTGATACAGACATAGTATCATTCACTGTAGTATGTATATGCTATTGTGTACTATTATGTACTGCCATTGTGTACTGTATATAACATTTTGTACTAGTAAATTTAGGAGACTCCAAGAGCAAGAAACAAAAGTTCTCTGAACTTGGTGCGAAGTGGAAGGACTTGACAGATGGTCAAAAAGAGGAATATAGAGGGAAAGTTCGGAGTCTGAATGATTCCGATGTTGCGGAAGGATTCACTGATAGGCAGAGAAGTAAAAGAATTGTTAACAATTTAATGAAGGAGGTAATGTTATTATTAAGTATAAGTGTATTTACTCTGTATCTCACAGTTTTTTACTACAAATAGTTATAGTGTATTAGTGCACATACAGTGCTCATTCAGTATGGAATAGTCGTTCTAAACCAAAAACGATTTAAATAGTAACGAATTTTTTACGCGACTTGGTGGAGTAAAAATTTCTCTGTATGAAATCGCTGTGTATGAGTGCTACCTGAAAATCTCGAAACGTCGAAGACTCTCTTGTTTTTCTCAGGTAGTTTACTTATGCAGACACAGCGAATTCTCTGATTTCTACAAGCTACCTACACGTTCGAAGTTAATATGTACCGTGTGTTATATGAATGTGTGTGAATTCACATGACATGTGATTACGTGAAACCACATGTGAATGAAAACACATGCATGTGATTCGAATTTAGGGCACTACAATGAGTCCTGAATTGAGCCTAATCAATATTTATCAACACTCAGGTTGCAGAACTTGATAATATAGATGGAGTCGAATGCCTGGTTATCTGTGTGGAAGGTGGCAATATATATCATGCCTCAACAAAATTGGGCCAAAAGTTTCTTGAAGAATATCCGGATACCTGTACAAAGTTTGGAAATGTCATTCAAAATGGTAAAGTGTCGGCACCGTTCACTTCGTGGAATGCGACTGTTAATCTTTGTGCTCCATAACATGAGTCACCTGTTTGACATGAACATTTATACCCAATTTATAATTTTTGAAAACTTATTACATGCCTATTTAAATTTGGTCCAGTCTACCGAGGGCATAAAATGGGCGAAGGTGTTTAGAGATGCAATCATCTGAATGAGTGAATAATTCAGATACAGTAAAACAGGGGGGAATTTTGTTTTAGGCCGATCAGCGCATTCTAATGTCAGGTTATCTTTATTTGGCTTTGTATACACTAGAGAAATAGTAAATGACAGAGATTTCGTTGCATATAATGTGATACTTTTAAAATTATTTTTTCAGTCTCCCTTAATAACAAGATAGATGTGAGCGACAAAATGATTAGAACAATATTTAACAAAAAGTATAGTAAGTACATTCTATATTTGACGTCTTTCCTCTAATATTTCAAAAATGCAGTATTTATATATGAATTTATATATATACATAAAAATGCTGTTATATTCACTACTGTTTCTTTGTGAAATTAGATATGGTTCACCTTTATAAAGGAAGCTTTATTTACAATTGCATAGACCACTTTCATGACTGAGAGGAATTTAAATATTCTTTTATGAACATCTTAATAAGCCTTGCTGGCAAAGTTTCTATGACTGAAAAGGAATAGAGTTCTTCAACAAAAACGACGCCAACCGGTCCTATAAAAATGCACATAAAAAGAATATTTCATTTCGTCTCTGAATTACTGATGAATGTGGCCTTTTATAAAGATGCCTAAAAATAAGTAAATCTCTCTACTTTTTATGTGTGTTATATACTATGTTGTACAAGTGCTATACACTAGTGTATATGAGAATTCCTCATAGAGACATTACGAAAAAATAGAATTCACTTAATTCTTCATCGTCTTTGTGTTAACACGTATCAGCGATACGAGCACGGGTTCAACTCCCGTGGGATGATACTATTTATCTGTGAATTCTATCTGACGCTACAAAAAAAGTCAGAATACAAAATTAATATAATATCGTTATTTTTAAGGTACATTAGTTGGCAAGGCTTCACCCTTGCCGTATTCAGCAGCAAAATCTCTTGGACTAAAGTTTAATGGTTTGCCGTCCGAACTCATAGACGAATTGGGTTGTTATCCAAAACAGCCAAACCATTACGGGGCACAACAAGAGCGAAGATTGTGGGAGAGAAGAAACTCCTTTTCTTTTTCTTTGCAATCACACATGGAAATAATCAATACTGCAAGTAACAATGCATCATCTTCTTCAACTTCATCAAATGTCAGTTCGTCAACTAGTACTGATCCACTTTTGCCTCCATCTACGTTACCTCCAATGACTGCATCTGATCACCAAGTCCCACTTTCTACTAGCCTAAGACCGAGTACATCAGGGGAAACAATTAGTACGCCTTCACAATCCCAGCCTCAAGACCATTCTTTCCTCGCTCCCATTAACCAACCTGACATGCAGCTCCCTAGTCAGTCTTTGTCAAAGAATGACGGCCAAGAACTAATTGTTTCTCAAATTATTGAGCAAACAATTTTTTTAAATGCTTCAAATGGGCTTTCACTACAGCTTAAGGAAGGTTAGCTAAAATTTTTATTCCCCTTCGTGAAGTCCGAAACTGATGCGATTTAGAATTTTTTAATGTTCATCAATGTTCTGCCTAGTTATCAAAAGTTTTTATTCGCTTGATTGGTTGCCCCACCAAGGCAGTGACATTTATCCTATATAATCATTTTTAAATTTCATATTTTGGTGCACGAATTTGATCATTGCAACGTCTTATGGGTACCCAACTGCGCCAGTAAAAATGGGTGCTTGTGAAAGCAGTATAATGTTATGTATATGTCTGAATTGAATGTCTGAATTGATCGCCGGTAACGCCGGTCCATTACGGGAAAGTGCCGGCCTTTACGGGAAATTTCACGGGAAGTGACGCTTGCCATATAATAATACGCGATAATCACCTAAGTGCTGTTGAGTTTATTTGTTTCTTGTTTCACGGAAAGAGCAGAATTAGCTATAAGCATGATAAACAAAACCTGTTTATTTAGCCGATTCTTCTTTTTTGTGAAGCAATAAACAAATAAACTTAATGGCACTTAGCAACATTACCCATTGCATGTTCCAAACAGAATGCGGTAAATGTCTGCGTTTTCTTTCATCCATGTAATTAATAAAACCAAGATCTATATTTCGCCGTTGTGGATTCAGGCTATGTTATTATTTCATTTACTGTTCATTTTCAAATTCAAACATAATTCCAGCGTATCTATCATTAACAAACTGAACCATTACATGCTCGTGGACATATCGGTGTTTTCGTAGTGAGTAATATAAATAATGGAGTTTAAAGTTACATTTTAGCCTGCTTTCTATGTATTCGTGAGTGTCGTGGACATGAGTGCCGATGAAACTCTCCACAAATATTTTTAATAGTAAGGTAAATTTTTATACGCAGGTACAGTTTTTGGGCTTATGGACGAGCGAAACATGATCAAAGGAACGGGAAAGGTTATGGCAAAGCATCAGTTACATGGAAGACCAATTGCGCCTGGTTGCCTTGTAGTTGAAGTGGTCAGTGTGAAAGATAATTGCGCCACAAAACCGCCTGTACCGGGTGCATTTGATGATGACGAGGCGGTGCATATTGGAGGGTTTTACCTGTGGCCAATATCAAAGCTCTCTTTTCTTGGTAAAACCGGAATTCAAGTTGGAATCAACAAGTGACTTTAGTAGATAACCATTGTTATATAAATCAATACATTGATGCTCTTTTGGCCTACATGCCTCGCTCTCATTATATGGAGTCTTCGCTGATGAGAGAGAGGCTTCCAACCAAAAAATATTCCGTAATTATATGTATACGGTGATAAGTTTATAAACAACAAACATTTGAGAAATATATTATATATAGCATTGTTGTATTAATGTAAGTACTGTAAGTAATTATTTATTGTTACATTAAGATTTTTAATATATATATCCATTTACCAAAAAAACAAAAAAACTAAGTACATTTTGTAAATTACTTTCAGTTCATCGAAAAATTTCACTGACATTCATTAAATCCGTACATGCGTATGCATTTTGGGGTACAGTTTCGCATTATAAGTTGTTTATATAAGGTTTACACAGGACAAGCAACAAGTTCATCCCAATTTTAAAAACGGAATTTCAACAAGATATTTTGCATATTTTTTAGATCATCGAGATACATGTAATTCTAAAATTTCACTGACATTCATTAAATCCGTACATGCGTATGCATTTTGGGGTACAGTTTCGCATTATAAGGTGTTTATATAAGGTTTACACAGGACAAGCAACAAGTTCATCCCAATTTTAAAAAAGGAATTTCAACAAGATATTTTGCATATTGTTTTAGATCATCGAGATACATGTAATTCTAAAATTTCACTGACATTCATTAAATCCGTACATGCGTATGCATTTTGGGGTACAGTTTCGCATTATAAGGTGTTTATATAAGGTTTACACAGGACAAGCAACAAGTTCATCCCAATTTTAAAAAAGGAATTTCAACAAGATATTCTGCATATTGTTTTAGATCATCGAGATACATGTAATTCTAAAATTTCACTGACATTCATTAAATCCGTACATGCGTATGCATTTTGGGGTACAGTTTCGCATTATAAGGTGTTATATAAGGTTTACACAGGACAAGCAACAAGTTCATCCCAATTTTAAAAAAGGAATTTCAACAAGATATTCTGCATATTGTTTTAGATCATCGAGATACATGCAATTCTAAAATTTGACGGACATTCATTAAATCCGTACATGTGTATGCATTTTGGGGTACATTTCGCATTATAAGGTGTTTATATAAGGTTTACACAGGACAAGCAACAAGTTCATCCCAATTTTAAAAAAGGAATTTCAACAAGATATTTTGCATATTGTTTTAGATCATCGAGATACATGTAATTCTAAAATTTCACTGACATTCATTAAATCCGTACATGCATATGCATTTTGGGGTACAGTTTCGCATTATAAGGTGTTTATATAAGGTTTACACAGGACAAGCAACAATTTCATCCCAATTTTAAAAACGGAATTTCAACAAGATATTCTGCATATTGTTTTAGATCATCGAGATACATGTAATTCTAAAATTTCACTGACATTCATTAAATCCGTACATGCGTATGCATTTTGGGGTACAGTTTCGCATTATAAGGTGTTTATATAATGTTTACACAGGACAAGCAACAATTTCATCCCAATTTTAAAAACGGAATTTCAACAAGATATTCTGCATATTGTTTTAGATCATCGAGATACATGTAATTCTAAAATTTTACTGGCATTCATTAAATCCGTACATGCGTATGCATTTTGGGGTACAGTTTCGCATTATAAGGTGTTTATATAATGTTTACACAGGACAAGCAACAATTTCATCCCAATTTTAAAAACGGAATTTCAACAAAATATTCTGCATATTGTTTTAGATCATCGAGATACATGTAATTCTAAAATTTCACTGACATTCATTAAATCCGTACATGCGTATGCATTTTGGGGTACAGTTTCGCATTATAAGGTGTTTATATAATGTTTACACAGGACAAGCAACAATTTCATCCCAATTTTAAAAACGGAATTTCAACAAGATATTTTGCATATTGTTTTAGATCATCGAGATACATGTAATTCTAAAATTTGACGGACATTCATTAAATCCGTGCACGCGTATGCATTTTGGGGTACAGTTTCGCATTATAAGGTGTTTATATAAGGTTTACACAGGACAAGCAACAAGTTCATCCCAATTTTAAAAACGGAATTTCAACAAGATATTTTGCATATTGTTTTAGATCATCGAGATACATGTAATTCTAAAATTTCACTGACATTCATTAAATCCGTACATGCATATGCATTTTGGGGTACAGTTTCGCATTATAAGGTGTTTATATAAGGTTTACACAGGACAAGCAACAATTTCATCCCAATTTTAAAAACGGAATTTCAACAAGATATTCTGCATATTGTTTTAGATCATCGAGATACATGTAATTCTAAAATTTCACTGACATTCATTAAATCCGTACATGCGTATGCATTTTGGGGTACAGTTTCGCATTATAAGGTGTTTATATAATGTTTACACAGGACAAGCAACAATTTCATCCCAATTTTAAAAACGGAATTTCAACAAGATATTTTGCATATTGTTTTAGATCATCGAGATACATGTAATTCTAAAATTTGACGGACATTCATTAAATCCGTGCACGCGTATGCATTTTGGGGTACAGTTTCGCATTATAAGGTGTTTATATAAGGTTTACACAGGACAAGCAACAAGTTCATCCCAATTTTAAAAACGGAATTTCAACAAGATATTTTGCATATTGTTTTAGATCATCGAGATACATGTAATTCTAAAATGTCTCGTTTTCGTGTGGCATTTATACTCAAGTCTCGCGCGAGAGCTTGAAACTTGGCAACTTGCAGGAAACACCTGCCGGATGTTAAAAAACTCCACTAAAAAGTCAATCCCCTGCCCCATCGGAATTATTTTTGGGCCTCCAGGAAAAAATTCCGTTATTATCAAGAGAAAATAATAAGATAAATTAAATTTTATCATGTTTTTAACGGAATTATTCGAGAATATTTTTTACAAGTTTTGTCTCTGATCGATTATTATATATATTATAAATTTGTAAAATCTACGTGAAGAATTATTATAGTTTTTTTGTCGTCTAAAATACCATATAATAAACAACTTACAGACCTCACTCTCATTCAGTAAGTACCCAATCCTTAGGGCCGCCCCAATCACTAGGGAACTTAAGCATTGACTACGAGTACGACTACGACTACGAGATTCGTCATTCCCACGCGTTGTTTGCTTACGCTATCAGCCGAAACTCGTAGTCGTTGGGCTTTCGAGTACGAAATTTACAAACTCGTATTTAAAATCAGAATCAGAATCAGATTTATTTTTACATGTAAACAAAAACGTAAAGAAAAAAGCTCGGCGACTACGAGTTTTGGCTGATGGCGTCAGCAAACAACGCGCGAGGATGACGAATCACGTAGTCATAGTCGTAGTCACTGCTAAAGCTCCCTACTGTCGTGTTAACAACATTCGAAATTTGGAATTAGAAATTTCCATAAAAAATCATAACTATACCGCATAGAGGGGCTTTCTGGAGAAAATTGTTGAATATTTTCATTACAAATAAATAAAGCTAACAACTAT